AGGCGGTTGGATCATCGGCTCTGTGGTCCCTGCGTCTCTACTTCTCAGAAGCGGGTGTCCTGGCGCGCTGGCTGCTTCCTCCTCAGGGGCCAGCAGGTGAGGAGGTTCAGCTGGAAGCCTTGCACAGAATGCAGAGCACCTCCTGGCTGCAGGTTGCTTGGCCTGTGACTTATGATCTTGAGCCTTCCAAACCCTTTGGACAATGCCTACTTGCCCACTTGCGTGTAGCTTGTGGGGGCCCAAGACCAAGGTAGTGCGTGCCTTCGATGACATCGCTTCGGGGATCGCCGCCGCCGCGCCGAGGCCGAGGCTCACACCTGGCGCGGAAATGGCTCGGCGAGTGCCCTCGGCCAAGTTTCAGGGAAACCAACTAGCAGGGAAAGGGATACGGGAGGATTCCCCCTAAATGCACCTTGATATGGGAAGCGCCAGGGGAATCCATATCCCCATATCCGCATATCCGGAGGCCCCCGCCCATGGTCCAGGGACCTGCTGGCGGGTTCCACGTTCATGTTGACCCGGGATCTAAGTGGAGCGTCTGAATCACTACGCCTTCCGATTAATTACTCAAACAGGGGTCTGTTAATATGGGGTCAACATTGGTGTGAGGGCTGACTTTGCCGTGGTTGGTTGTTTTCCTTTGGCCCCCTTTTGCCCGAGTCCCCCTCCCAGCCTGCGGTCTGGTTTTCGTGCGTGCGAGGGGGCAGCGCTCTATGAGAAGCCCTGGGTGGAATTTCTGGATCCTAGCCTCAAGTGCCCTGACTTGCACGTGGCACGGGCTTTGCATCGCGAGTTTTTCAGGGAGGCTTTCGCCAAAGAGCACAAAGACACCCCTCCCCCCCAGACATGTAGGGGATGAAGAGGCCTTCTGGAGGCAATCAACAGACTGCGGGGAGTTTCTCTCTCTCTCTGGTCCTAGCCCCTGCATGGAGATCTCAGGCGCCTACTTCGGCGGCTTCAGCAGGGCCTGGTGGAGCCTCATAGGCTCGGAGCCTCAAATATCAACATGACCTTTGAGAGGAATATGTGTGTTTTTCTTGTTCTTTTCTCTTCTTCTTTTTTTTCCCGAGAGGGGGGGGGAGTTTTTTTTTGGGGGGGGAGAAAGGGGTGGGGGCATCGACCACTTTGGTATTCCAGAAATGGTGCTGAGACATACTTGGAATAAGATGATAGGTGGTTAGTATGGTTATAACTAGTTATTAGTTGCCCAGTCGGCATGGGGCGCCTGGGGCGCCTGGTCGTTTTGTGCTTACGTTGTGCCTGTGAGCACTCAAGTTTCCAGACAGCCTTTCCGGACATTGATGCTTGGGGGGGGGAGGGGGGTGTGGGAGGGGGGGGGGGGTAATAACGTGCGTGCCGTCGAGCACACTAGTTTCCACACTAGTTTCTTCGAAAGGCGGCGCGCAATGCTTGGACAGGATTGGCAGGCGTAAAGCTTTTGTGCCAAAGGCTGCGAACCGGAAATCTAAGACGAATGGGCACTCACATGTCTCTGATACTTTGCAGAGACGCTGCTGGCAATGGGTCTAGCAAAAAGCTTCAAGAACCCGGCGCCGAATAAGTTTTTGGAAGAGCTGCGAAAGCTCTTCAGAGCTGCCTGAAAGAGGCTTACACTTGGTCTGGGCTTGCGGAAAAGGCATGAAGCAGCTTCTCATGTCCAAAAACAAGTAGTTGTTGACATTGTCCAACATAGGGTTCGCAGCCTGAAGCTGAAACTCTACTGGCAAAAACGCCGCAACCGCGCACTTTCACCCAGGCGCCTGGCAGCTGACCAATTAAACTAGTTGTGACCAATATTGCGAGTCACCTTTTCTGCGGGCTATCAGGATTACAATCCACTTACGAAGTACCCAGCCCCTTGACCCAGCAGTTCCCATGCCGCAGGTCCTGCAAGCGCTGCCTTGGATACCGCCCGCAAGCCTTCCATGCCGGTGTCAGTGTCGGGCGGCGGCTTCTAGAACGGCTGCAGGTCAAGGAGTGTGGCCGGCTGGATATGAGTGGCTTTTCACCCTTTCTGGGGTGGTTTGGAACTATAGGGCCTTTTTCAGCTGGGAATGTCACCCAATTATCCCCCAAACATGGTTGAAAGGGGGGGCTCTCCATTTAAGCCGACCCCCCTACCCCCAAGCCTTGGGAGGATGATAGTGATGTTTGTGATGTGTATTTGTTTGCAGGCTGCAGCTTGCGCCTCTCAATGGCTCAAGAAAAGATGCACCTTACTTCGAGCTATCTTTGCCTTGGCCGTTGCTCGTTTCACTCTGCAGATTGGCGTCCCCAAAACCCATCGCTGGAGGAAGCTTCTCGATTCTCGATGGTACTAGGTTAAGTGACTAAAAATGTGGTAGCCCCCAAATGAGTAGAGAGGCATTCCTTCGGTTGTATTTTGAAGTACCTCAACCCCCCCCCCAAAAAAAAAAGAAAATAAAAGAAAGAAAGAAACAAGAGCAACAAACAAATCAAAAAGGGTACCGGATCGTGCCCTCACAAAGAGGACACACCTGGACACATGCACGCACAAGCACACCGTGCACCCATCGAAGGCTTATGCTGGTTTCTGGCCTCCGTCTGGCCTTTCTTGGTGGCAGCTCCCACTGTCGGGCCACTTGGAGCCTTTTGCTAGACAAGCTTTTGGGCCCCCCAAAGTGCTTGAAGTCCGGCTGTCAGGGTTTGGTTTGGGCCACACGTCATGGCCGATGCGAGTCTGCTAGCTACTGGAACTAGAGCAGTAGGTGTCCCGGCGGCCGTTTGTTGAGACTGTTTTTACGGGGGCCCTAAGCGAAACCACCACTGTTTCAAAGGGAAGCCGGCAGCTTAGGTTTGAAATTGGGGTCGCTTGACATTTGGACCCAAAATGCCCCAAACCCATGGGGAAGGGCCACAGAGTTGTTTTCGCAGGAGATCAGCAGCGGTGTGTACTCATTCCCGGCTTTGAGCCCCGAGTTTTGCCGGCTGCTGTTGGCAGAGGCGGGAATGAAGTATCTAAGGCAAAAGGATCCTTTCATGGAACAAGCGGCCGGATATTTATATATATGCATAGTTATTTGCATTTGTGTTTGCATTCAGTTATTTATTGCAAACCACCCCGCCCAACGCGGACGTAGAACCTGAAACAGGGTCAAGAACATGCTCTTCCTTCCTGGTTCCATCCTTGTTTTTGTGTGCGGAATAGCCCTTAATTGTCAACAACTTCCACAAGCAGAAAGCCCAAACATTCTTTTGGTAGACCCCCACAATCCCGAGAATCCCCAGAATCCCCAGACCCCCCCCAAGACCCTGCCAGAACCCCAAACCACCCACCCCACACCTCCAGACCCCCTGGTTAGCACCCTATATCCCCCAACCTTCGCAGGTGTCCCACTTCCGTGGCCTGCAGCGGGCCAACTCCATGCACCGCTTCGGCGGGGTCCTGGCCGAGATGGGCCTCGGCTCCCGGGTGGCGGAGTTCCAACGCCAGGTGCCGCGGATTTTTCGGGGACCCGGCTGTCAAGGGAATCCGACGTTTGTCAGGCGCATGGAACCTGACGCTGGAAGAAATGGTCCCTTTGAAGGGAAGATGCTGCAAACCGAGGCCCCCCAAACATTGGTGGGAGGGTATTGGTTTTGAGGGGATGGATGCGCAGATATAGAACCAATCTATGCTTGAAAGGCAGAACACATCTTGTCTATAAGCGGTATAGAACCTCCATGCCTCCAAACAGCCATACCTGAAACTGCCCTTGAAGCTGAGTGTCCCCCAAATTCCCTGGCATGCCGGGGCCACCCAACGGGGGCAGCTCCATGGAGAGATGCTCATTCCTTCATTGGGTCCAGAGGAACCACTTGCAAAGAAAGGTGCTGCAGCCTTTGGCGCGGCGGCTTTTCCCCGGTGTGGGGGACGAGTTGGAGACATTCCACGCCTTTGTGGTGCGCTACATGAGGGATCGAGACGTGGAGCTGGCGCCCCACCGGGACGATGCGGAGGTGAGCCACCAGAAATGAAGGTCAACATCTCACAAAAAGTAGCCCTCCCCCTCTTAAAACGGCCCAAAAACGGCCAACACGTCACAAAAGTAGCCCCCACCCCCCCTCAAATGACCGCCTTCCTTTTGCATTCCCAGACGAAACCAAAAGGCAACCACCCGTGCGCAACCCCAAAATCCGCCGAATGTCTGCTGAAAGCTGCAGGTGACCTTCAACATGGCCCTGGTGCAGCGGACCCGGGGCTGCAGGCACGCAGCAAGGGTCTGAGACCTCCAGACCCGGTTCCCTTTCAAAAAAAAACCCGGCGCCTCGGTCTTTCCCTTGGGACATTGGAGGGGGGGGGGTGGGGGGGGCCTTTACAACTAAAAACAGGGAGAGGGAGAGGGAGAGAGAGCAACAAGAAAGAAATAAGGAGGGCTGACAGGCAAAATGTAGTTTTTTGGTCGGCAGAAGGGGGGGATGATTTGAACACCACCTTGTGGCTGCCAAGTTGCAATTGGTCTCCTTTCGGTAATTCATGAAGGGGCACATGCGTATCCCAATAGCAGCGAGGCGCCAGCACGCCTGTGTCGGCGGCTCAGGTTGGTCTTCTGCGGCCTCATGCAGGATCGGGACGTCCACCAGCACCGGCTGAGCCACCAGTTTCCAGGTGCGGGTTTAACAGGGCTTGGAACCTCCAAAAGGCGATTGCTTCAAAGAAGCAACTCGCGGTGGAAATCCAACGACCCTTGGCCCAAGCCTCGCCCATCACTTCTGGCTTGATGTGTGTTTTGTAGCTCGTGTCCCACCAAGGGCCTTATGTAGCCTCTTTCGGCTTAAGCTGTAACCAGCCGTTTGGCCGGGGGGGGGGGGGGGGTGGTCTTCGGCGGGGCTTAGATGGGTGAGCTGAGTGTTTGGTGACCATGGTTACACCTCGTAGTCGTTTGGGTATGTGTCAAAATAGGGGGACCCCAAAATGGTACTTCCGTGCTTCCCTTTTCAAATTAGCTCCCAAAAAGGGCACCCGCAAGAAGCACAAGCCCATTGAGACAACTAGGTGTGTCCTGTGTTTTGGGGACCCCCCCCCCCAAAACCGCTGCAAAGCGGGCAAACAAAGACACCCAGCTCCCATCTAAGTGGTTCGCCGGTTTCCTGCGCACAGGCGAGGGGTGGGCGGTGCTTCACCTCGGGCGACAGGCTCGCGCCGTGCTTTCAGGGAAGATGCGTTTCAGCCACCTGGAGTCTCCTTCTGACCCTTTAAAAATGGTGGGTCATTACCCAGAATAGTGGGGGCATTGACCCATTTTGAAAGGGTCGTGTAGACTTCAGGCAGCAATTTCTGGTCCAATTCAGGCAGCGCGGCGAATTTGGTCCAGTTCCTTTGAAGGAAGCCCAGATCAGGCTGCTCTAGTTGATGGTTGTGCATTTATTTGTTTGTTTCGGCCAGGAAGGGGTTGCTAGCGCATGTGCGCATGGCGAGGCGACACCGATCCAGGTGCACGCGACGGAACCCATCATCCAGGGGGAGCGCAGCAACCTGGTGATTTGGAGCCGCAGCTGGGCATGGCGAGCCGCAGGTAGTGGTCTCGAAGTGCGGGTGGGGTAAGGCAGTGGCGAAACACAGCCTGGTTATAGCCCACTGAACGGAGACTTATAGCCATGGTAATTGGGTTATAGCTGATAGATACACACACATATACACACATATATATATATATACATATATATATATATATGTGTGATCATGGTTGTGTTACCGTGCCAGGGCCACATAGGTGAGTGGAAAGCGATTGGAACTGGCAGTCGGTGCGGCATGGAATCCCTGAAGCTTCGGATCAGTTGCCTTGGAACCGGACAGGTGGGGATGGCCAGCTTCCGACGGTGCCTCCTGAGATGCCAGGGCACGCCATGTGCGGCAGGGCAAAAGTATCGGGCTTTGACGCCATCTTTGCTTGCCCCTTTGGTTGCCATCCTGCATGTTGTTTTCTGCTCAAGGCGTATTGGAGCAGTCATGGTAATAAACCTCAGCACCCGTGCAAATCCAAGTTTTTCAACCAACTGCTGCCACGGACCCCCACAAACACACCTGCCAAACACACCTCCAACAATGGTCTACTTCAGCCGTTCCCAAAGTGTGTCTGAGGGGTTTGTGTTGGGTCCCTTCATGGGAGCCTCCGCCCGGCCGCAGCGCCATGGGGCCTCCCAGGCTGGTGAAGCTGACCCCCGTGCTCTGACGGGATTGGAAAGTGGTTGGAGGCTCAGGCATGCGGTGGTTCCAGTGGTTGGAAAGTGATGGGAAAGTGCTTGGACAAATATTCATTCAGTTGGCAAAGCATCATAGGTTGGCGGGTGTACAGGTTTTGCATGCCTCTCATGTAAAATGAGGAGCTCACCAACTCAACAGCAAAATCTCAGAGGAACTCCTTTCGGGCACCTTTGTCGGGGTTGTCCACGTCAATCAGGTTAATTTGCAGGGTCTGGCGTGAAGAGGCCTCATCAGGTGCCGCGGGTTCTTGGGAATGCAGCCACGTGGAGCCGCGGAGCCTTCAAATCGAAGGTGGCCGAATTTTTTTTGCCGGGGCATTGGTTGGCCAGACGCCCATGCCCTTTCAAGCCTTTGTTCTTTAACAAATGGGAGATTCCCTTTAAAAATGTCAACTACCAAAAAGAAGCGGGCCGATTCTTTCTTCATGGACATGTCCTGGCAGTCTGGGGTTGGGACGGCGCAGTGCACACGGGAATCGCAGATCCCAAAACTGGTTGGTTTCCTGGTGCTTTTCCCTTTCGAAGACAATCAAGGGGTCTCCAATGTTTGGTCTACGATTTGGCCTTTTGGATGGCTCTTTGGGCCAGTCTTTCTTTGGGCCTTTGGGTGTTCTACATGAAATTACTGCTGGGAAGGACATCATCGTTTCCGCGGCATATGCCCAGTTATGTATACTCGCACGCTGCCTCCAGACAAGCCTTGCAATTTGGGGCTGGCCGTGTTTTGCTTCGACGTGTCTCGGCAAGGACCTTGCGAAGAAAATCTTCGCTGGACGGACACTCAGACCCAATCTTCTCAAAAAATGAGCAGACACTGTGACCCCGAGAAACCACGTGCCTAAAAATGAGGTACCTCTCAATAAAATTGGGCACCGTGCTTTCCCAGAACCATCGTGCCCTCTCAATTTTCCCGTGTTACGTTGGGGGTCCAGACATGTCCATACTCAGAATCGATTGCGCGAGATATGATGCCGGTGTCCGCCCCTGCCTTCCCGGAGATCCAGGTGTCAGCTTGCCCAAGCAGCTTGTCCTTGCTGGATGGTTTGTTGCCAATGCTTTGCACAGGTTGATTTGCGATGGACTTGTCTGGTTCACCCGGCCAGCTTGCAAGAACCTGCTTTAATATGGCGTGCTGGTGTTGCAGCTGCTTTAAACTCAAACGGGCAACACCAGAAGCTGCACGTTGAGGAATAGGCAAAACATGATGGGTGAGTGTGCTTCATGGTGCTTCTTGGTCATTTTCATCATCCGGACGCGTGTTGGGTGTTTCTTCGTTCGAATCAGCTTCCACAGCCATGAGCCTTCGACTGCGGACCTTGGCCGGGGCTGTCATGCTTGAAACGCCCGTCCCAGACTCCATGGAGGACTTGCAATTGAAGCTCGACATGGTCACGGATGTGCCAGCAGCCTTGCGAAAGATCCTGTGACCTTGTCAGATTTATGAGACTGAGTGGAATGTTTTTTACCCTTTTGGGTTTTGCAGATCCATTGTTACCCTGCCAGGGGTCCAAGTCTGGCCAAGGTACAATGGCGCCGATGCAAAAATTGAGGACTTGTGGCACGCAGCCAGCCGCGCGGCAGATACGGAGACGGATGGAGTGGTGGAGGTGAGTTTTCTGATTGATCACTCGCCGTACTATCGCTGGGACATTGCGGGGAACCCTGATCACCCCTGCCTATCCGGATCAGGCCGGGGTCCCTGTGTTCCCACACGTCTCTCTTTTCTTGTTTGTTTGTGATGGGGACTGGTCCCAAAAAGACCGCGGTGTTAAGCAGAGCGGCCCAGCTTCCTGCCAACGAATCCACCAGAGGGTCCCTTGAAAAGAAGACCAGTCCCAAGCACCCCGAAACGACGAGTATTTGGTGAGTTCTCTTGGGGTGAGGGAAATATCGCCGGCCCGCCGGAGGCTCAGAGGTCACGTTTGCAGATGAACGCTTCGACTATGTGAATGTACTCAGCCAGGTGCCGATCAAAAGCGGAGTGCACTTTGTGGAGTTTCTGATGCACATGCTTCAGGTGCAACCCCGGGCCACTTTTGTGGGAAACCAAAAGGATCTGGTTTCAACAGTTCGGTGGTGGAAAGCCGGGGTTGTGCCCTGGTTAAACATTCTGGACTCTGGTCATGATGTTGCCTGTTCTCATTCCGGCGGTTCTCAAAGTAACTGTGGTTGCTTTCCTTTTAAACTATGCCTTTGTGGTACTTGGGAAACGCAGAGGCCAGTTTAACAGGGCTCCTTAAAAGATACCTTTTGCAACCATTTGAAACATGGCTTTTTCCACCAAAATGAAAGGAAACCACCATTTACAAGACAATGTTCAGGTGTATAATGTAAGGATCCCTGTTTAACCAGGTGGTTCATGGCCTGAGGACGAGCAGTGGTGCGGAGTCACCTGGTCATCAAGCAGGGCTGGCCGCAGTGGGGGGGACGTCCCGGGCTGTTTCTACTACTCCGGGCGTCGGGGGCATCAAAACGGGCACCTGGATGTCGACCGGGAGCCAGGGTTCGGCGGTTTTCGGATTTTCGCAAACTTGGCTTAAACACGCCTCGGCCGCCTCGCCATGGGCCACTTTAACGGGAAGCAAAGGAGATTGCTTTGGTTTAACCATGCTTCTGTGTTCTGGAGTGTCCATGAGACTAAAAAAAATGGGGTCATGGTTGAATTGCAAGGAGAGGTGCCACCGCCTACCATTTGCGCATGTGAAGAGCGGGGATGCCATTGGCCTTCTGCTGGATGCGGACAGGCATGTGGTCATGTTCACCTTGAATGGCCAGCTGCAGGGGGCATGCACCGTGCCGGACGAGGCCATGTATTTCACAACTGCGCTGGACAGGCAGGGGGACTGCGTAGAGCTTCGGAGACGGCTGCCGGCGGAGTTCCCCTACAAATTGGCTGACGTGCCATCAAGCAAGTTCGTCCTCATTGAGGGGCCGCGCGCGCACTCCGAGCCCGGCCTTTCGGGGCGATCATCACCTTCCTCACGGTCTTCGATCTGATGTGGAGCCATTCGGCTCGAAGGGGCTCCGAATTCCGCGCGTGGCTGGTGCAGTGTCACCATGTGAAGACCTACATGTCGCAAACAGCCACCGGCGATTTGCGCGCAGCGTGTCTTGAAAAATCCGTGACTCCCCTTTCCCTTTGGTCTCGTTCGGTCCATCGCCGTGATTCGCGAAAAGGTTCCCCAACTCCCCAGAACCCTGCTGAATATCCCTGCTAAGGTTGTGTCCGGGGAATTCAATGGTTGCGGGATGTGTCTTGCTCACACCTTTGTTCCGTGCCTTTGCCGGACCTTGAGGGTGTAGTCCTCCCAGATGCTAAGCGTTTTTCTTCCCTGGCAAGTTCCTAGCTTAGTTGGGATGGTGGGCCCCTGCAAGCCTTGCCACTCTTCAATGACCAAGTGACTTTCAGGTGTCAAGTGGTGAATTCCTCCATGGCTTCTGAGGCCTTGGCTCGCCTGGCCGAGGCCAGATACCGATGTTGCCCCAAAACCCGCGAGACAGAAAGCAGACAGAGAGCAGGAGCAACTTTAAGGCAGCCCCTTACCCGCAATCATGGAGGGTCGAGTTCTAGCCTTAAGCTGGTGCCGGCTGCACATGGAGGCAACACTCCTACATGGGTGTGGCTCAAAATTTCAGAGCTAGGGTTACGCAGGTTTTGGTCTTTGGTTGCATTTACCAGGCCATTTTGCGCACCTAAACCCAGGGGTTCCCTTTTTGGGGTACATGCCCCACCCCTGGGTTGAAGTCTATTTGCAGGTCAAAAAGTGGAACCCTGGCTGCCACTTTACCAGGCCCTCTGGGCCTCGGGTGCGAAAAACATGACAAACGCGCCGGCGCGCCAGGCACGTGTACAGCTGGCGGCTGACACCATACGATTTTCGAAGTGATCGCGTTGTCTTTGGCACGTATTGAGTGGGCGGCAAAACATGTCACAACAGTCAGCACTTATAGTAACTATGGTGGCTTCAATCAGGAGTGAGACCAAGGTGGGACAATGAGTGAGCAGAGTTTGATTGATTGATTGATTGATTGATTGATTGATTGATTGATTGATTTATTTATTGATTGATTGATTGATTGATTGATTGATAGGCTAATGGAGTTGGTCGTTGGGGAGCAGTGCGACAGAAGACAGAAGACCAATGGTCACCCTACACACTGTCGGCGATCGTGGCCATCCACTTTGCAGTGCAATAGTGTGTGTTGTGAGCAGTGCGTCAGTGCGTTGTGACTTTCTTGCAAGAATCAGATCTGAGACATGCCCTTGGTTCAGAATGGCTTGCCGTGGCTATGCTGACTGGAGCAGGCTGAGAGTACAGACGCCAGGGACTTGTGCCGTGCTGTGTCAGTTCTTTGCGAAAGCCAGCTTCCTTGCTGGAGCCCGTCTTTAGCAAGTAATGGGGAGGGTAGCGAGCAGCGAACACAGTATGTAACAACCCTGGTTTTTGATTCGATCTCTCCTGTAAATGCCAACAACCTCTGATTTCAACCATGGTTTCAAAGTGGTGCGTGCAGACTTTGTCCATCCACAGTACTAGCTCTTTCTCCGCTCTTCCCAACTCTTGGCTCTTCTCACTGGCTTCGCTCTTCTCCCAGTCTTTGCTCCGCTCTTTTTTGGCATCTTTTCTCCGCCCTCAAAGCATCCTCAAAGCTTGCGCATCTGTTCTTCTCGTTAGATTCCTCCCTGTCAGCCCCTATCAGTGCGCCGAGGCTGTGTATTGACCTTCCGCTTTGTCACTCGCTCTCCCTTCCTGACCTTGGCTAGGCACCCATCCAGCTCTCGGTGCGTACAAGCCGTGCGAAGTTGGCGCGCCAATGTCTTGGTCTGGCCCCTCGCATGCCTTTTGCCCCATTGCACAAATCAGCAGTTTCGCTGTCAGGGCAAACTTTGTGCTTACGCACATTGTGTTGGCTGCAGCTCAGATATCGCAGTTGCCACTCCATATTTGATCCGCAGCATGCTTTGGCTCAGAGAGTTTACACTGCTCAACAGAGTGCATGTGCTCGCACGAGTCATCAACGCGTCTTGAAGCTGAGCCGTGTGAAGAGCCTTAGCTGGCACCAGCTGTGTCCCGCGTAACAAACATATACTGTCAATTTCAGTTTGAATAGGCGGGGCGCCTATTCAGGTATACGGTATACGTGTTGCTCAAAAGAGCGTGCGAATCTCTACGCTCAACAATCAAGCTGAGTTGGGAATGGAAGATCTGAAGGAATCGGATGCTTTTACTGTGCTTTTATGGCCACTTCTTTGTTGATGTTAAGCAACATTTCCATTTGGTTCCTGTCTGGCAATCGACCCTGCGCGACTTGGATTCCTGGGCATTTCCCACTAAGACACCCTGGATTGATGATTTCCCCGCAAATGCCAACAAACAATGGTTTCAAACATGGTTTCATTTCGTGGTGCGAACGGATTTTGTCCATCTACAGCAGGGTTTTGGCTGACCTGCAAGGGAGTTGATGGCAGTTTTGCCTGCTGCCATCACTTGGGAGCCTTGCACAAGGTAATCAGGAGATACCATGATGTGAAACCCAGGGGTAAGAAGTAAGAAACCTGAAGGGTTATACCTACTATGGTGTGGGAACTGGAAGCTCTGGGCAATGAGTAAGCTAGCTTGGCAAATTCGGAGGTTCAGCCGTGATCCTGCCTGTTCATCGAAGCACATTCTAGGGATTCATTTTTTTTGCATCAGGTTCCCCGCTACAAACCAGGGTGCTGATCGCCGCCGATGCCGCAGTGGATTTGACCCACCTGAGCCCCCTCCCCTTTTTGCCGTGATGTGGATCCACGGCTCGGGCTGTGCAACCTCTAAGCCTCTGCGCAAGCATTTGCAACCTCTAGGTCTCATCTCCTCTCGCTGAGGTCCAAACTTCTGAGCAACGCCCAAAACCACTCCATTTGCCCACCATTTTAGTAGGCTCTACCACCTGGTTCAGTAGGGACGAGCAACAAGGACCATATAAACCATGATGATTGCCGTAAATTTTAGATAGGCGCCGCTGGGTGACTGCAACCGGCCTACGAGTACCAACGCCTTGTTTGCTGTCGTATCTGTTAAGCTATTGTCGTGGCGGGTTTGATGCAGCGCCTCTTGGATCTTCAGAGTTAGCGAAGTACACCATTTCCACTGGCAAAACATATATAGTCCTACGACCATCTCTCGGACAAGATGGCATGGATGGGTCTGAAACTCAAGGGATAATCGCAATGGGCTACCGCTATGCGTTTTGTACTTGGGGCCCAGAGGATGTGATTGGCTGATGGCAGTTTGATCTCGATTTATAGATTCGCAAAGATGGAAAGCAGCCTCCCTTACCACACGGCGCTCACGATTTACTTTCGACTTCCGCCCTGAGGAGTCACGGTCACGATTTCTTCCGACCTTTGCCAGGGAGCACAAGGCAACTTGGATGGGTTTGCTTGTGGTGGGCAAGTGCTGCATCTCAAAGTCCGCGAGATTTGTGTTGTAACTGCTGAACAAGATCAGGCTTTTTGGCTATTTCCAAAAGGCAGCAGGGCTCAATCACATTTGCTGAACAAATTCAATTGCGAATGTCCTTGTGTTTGCAGCCTCGCCATGCTCCCGCGCCTTCGCATGCTCAGCAGCCAGGAGAACATGTCTCTTGCAGGAAGCAGTGATCCTTCTTTTCGCCGGGGGCCTCAAGATCCCCAAATCAGCATCCCATCTGCATCTGCAAGGGGCATCAAGTGCAGGGGCTGGGGCTGCAACTTGACGCTATGTGAGTGATGTGGTCTCACTGCACATCGAGGGCTGAGCGTCACGTGGAACAGAAGATAGCCCACGCCATGCAAGTCTACTGCGCATCTTGAGCATCACAGCACTCGTGTTGAGCATGCGATGCTGAAGCAGCCGCAATCTTGAAGGGTGTCGCGCCTTAGCACGGCTTGGCCGGCCAACATGGGGACATCCTGTGCTGAGGCAACCCAGGGAGCCTCAGGCACAACACAGGTTGCAAGCCATGCAACAAGTTCAAGCCCGAAAGGCCGGACATGGGATCGGGGATAGTACCGCCATCCTCTTGCCAAGCGATTGCTAGCACGAACCGGAGGGAGTGGCTTTGCCCGAATCATTTGTGTTTCGGACAAGATGATCCCTGGCCGCGTTGAGAAACACATCGCCTAGCCACACTTCTAGCAATCCAGGCTGATGGGGTAGGGTACTTGGTAAGTGGGTGGGAGCAGCGGAACCCACCAAAGCCGAGGTCGTTATGTTATAAAAATGAACAACTGGTTAATGTTTTCCCCCGGATTAAGAAACACCAGATTATAAATACGGGGGTGTCCCGGGGGTGAAATGTGGGGAGTCAAACCACTTTTGGAGGGGAACCCCCCATATTAGTAAACTGGGGTTGATGAATCTGGGGTCAACATCACCTGACGTACCCTGCCCTTGGTTGCTCCGTGCAGGGTGAGACTTTTCTTTCATCGAGGCCTTGGGCCAGGGGAGTCGTGCCAGGCCTGAGTCCTGCAAGAAAGGCGACACCTGCACTTTCTGCCACGAAGAGCCTCTGGCGTGAACGATCTCGGGTTGCCTTGACGCTCAGCCATCCCCATAACCTTGCACGTGGAAGTGACCCCGGGAGGTCCCTTTTCTGAGGATTGGTGGAACTGGAGACTCCTCGTCCCCTGTGTGGGTATGGAAACTGCAGTTGCGCCTAGGAGCACGAGCGACCAAAGCACAAGGGCCACCGTGGTCGCTTTCGAAGGCGCCCAGCTTCAGAGTCTGTGGCTTTGAAGTTGCCATGTGTGCCATTTGAAATGTGTTGTGTGCGTGTGTATCGACTGTGACGACTTTGGCCTTCTGACTGTGGGCAGCCAACACATGAAACAAAGCGGCGATTGATCAATTTCTGCCGGCTTGCTCTATTGACAATTCCCCGACGGCTTTCTACAGCAACCGGCCTTTCAACTTTGCTCCTTTCAATTTTGCTAAGGAGCCAGGGGTCTTCCAGCTCAACGATCCACCCGGAGTGGCGCCCTCGGAGAGTTTCGGGCAACTCTTGGCACGGCATGTGATTTCGTGCTTTGTTTGGTTTCCTGTTTTGTACCCTACCAACAGCAGGTTTGAGTGAAATTCGCCTCTGGAAGA